CAGGGCCCGAGCCACCCCCAGCACTACTCCCACCACCTGCCCCACCGCCGCCGCCACTACCCGCACCACCCCCAGTACCCCCGCCGCCCTTCCCGCCCTTCTTGCCGGCCTTGCCACGTTTCTGTCCGCCAGAGACAGAAACAGCCGCCGTCTCCTCAGAGGAAGAAGACGTGGGGGTGGCAAGTGAGGCAGTGAAGGTGGGAAGCTGTGGTACCGCACACCCCTCAAAGAGACGAGGAGGAGGCGCGGAAGAGGCAGAGGCAACAGTGAGGAGGTTACTCTCGATCTTCGAGAGAGCGGTCTCAAGAAGATCGATGGTGAGCTCAGTGGGGTGCTTCAGAAGAAGCGCGTCGCGGGCTGTGGCTAGACGGTCAGGGAGTCGAGTGACTAGCCAGTGAATAGTGAGCCACATAGGGGGCGGGGCAAGGGCAAGCTGGTCCTCAGTGCAAGCAGCGCGAAAGCGAGCGTCAAGAGAGCGCAGGTGGGTAGCGAGGTCAGAGACAGTCTCAAAGGAGGCGAGGTCAGGGTAGATAAAGGGTACGAGGAGGCGACTGAGCGAAGCAGAGGAGGGTGTGGAGTAGCGAGCAACAATAGCCTTATATAGATCTGCAGCAGACTCGACCTGAGCGAAGTGGACTGCCTCTGTCGGCGGGAGAAGGTCGGTCAGGGCGAGGCAGGCAGCGGCGTCACGAGACTCCCACACGTCACGAGCGAGGAGCTGGCGCTGGTACTCGGCCTCCTGCTCAGAAGTAGGCGGTAGGGCAGTGGGCAGCGGCCGAGGCTGCAGAGGGGCGGTCTGAGTGCCGGACGCGTGTGCGAACAGGTGCACGCCATCCTGCCGCTGGCTCTTAAGGTGGCGCTGCGCCTGCGTAAGCCACGTACTAAAGTCAATCGGTCTCCCCTCAGGGTCAAAGCGAAGTACTCGGGAGGTCGCCATAGGAGGTGAAACTGAGAGAGCGCGGCTGCCAGCCGCGGGAGGGGGAGACCGTCAGTAGCGTGTAGGCGTGCAGGCGGGCAGGCGGCGCGGCATGTGAACAGGCGGGCGGCGCAGCACGCTGGTTGGCGGGCGGCGTGGTGAGAAGGGGCGGGGAGAAGGTCGCGACGGCGGGGAGAGGGCGGGGAGGAGGTCGCGACGGCGGGGAGAGGGCGGGGAGGAGGTCGCGACGGCGGGGAGAGGGCGGGGAGGAGGTCGCGACGGTGGGGAGAGGGCGGGGAGGAGGTCGCGACGGAGGGGAGAGGGCGGGGAGGAGGTCGCGACGGCGGGGAGAGGGCGGGGAGGAGGTCGCGACAGCGGGGAGAGGGCGGGGAGGAGGTCGCGACGGCGGGGAGAGGGCGGGGAGGAGGTCGCGACGGCGGGGAAAGGGCGGGGAGGAGGTCGCGACGGCGGGGAAAGGGCGGGGAGGAGGTCGCGACGGTAGGAGAGGGGCGGGGAGGAGGTGGGCGACGGGATTGGGAGGGGAGAGGGCGACGCGCGGGGCTGCGGGGCGGCTAAGCGTGAGGCGCGCGGGCGCAGCGGGGCTGCGGCGCGACGCGACGAGCAGCGCGCGGGGGGGCTGCGGGGCTGCGGGGCAACGCGACGAACAGCGCGCGCGGGGCAGAGCGGGCAGGGCAGCGCCCGCGAAAAAAAAGGGGAAAATGCGCGCTGCTACTGTGGCGCGCGGCCAGCAGGGGCAGCGCGACTCGTAGGAGGGCAGGGCGGGCGTGGGGTAACGCGGTAACCGTTGGCGATTCTAAGGTGGGCCCTAAAGAAAATCGTTCTAAGGTCCTAAGGACCTCCTGCTCTATACCATGTCATAAGGCTTAGGTGGGATGGTTGATTAGGTCAAGGGGGGGAGTACAAGAATGTCGAGAGACCGGCCTATTACAGGCGCCGGCGCTTCTATCTGGAGCATGGCGCTTATGGCCGTTCCTCGATTATAAGCACCCCCCCCCTGGAAAACCATTACTATATTATAAGCGCCCCGTGCATTTTTATTTAAATATCAGTTAGATCGGTAACGAATTTCAGTATTGCAACGAGTCAAATTTCATATTCGCTTTGTTTGACTTGCGAAGACCTGACTGGCTGCGCGTGTGAAGTTGAGAGGAATGAATTGTCTAGGAGAGAAGTGGGTACAAGAAGGAAACCATAGAAGAGTTGTACCCTATAGTGTCTACCTTACTAAAGCCTAAATATATAAAATCATATAAGTTTGACACACCCCCATAGGCAAAGTGGGGAAGACCTAGAGGTCACAAGACCAGTCAAGCAAAGCAAGCTCAGGGTGGATCACAACGTCACCACACATTCTGAGCACAAGGTCAAGGCCACAAGGCCAGTTCACATGCATGATGATATATAAACGGCAAACAAACAAGAGCAGGTATAAATAAGTCACAGTCAGGCCTCTCGTTATCAGGGTAAAATACCCTTTTTGCACTGACTGGCGGCCGCTTTTTTTCAGTTACCCTTTCACAGGCAGGGTAGTGGATTTTTTACCCTAGGCCAGAAAGTGTAAGTTTTTTTGTACCCTTTGAAAAACAGCGTAAGGAACTTATTTCCCTGACTGTACACTGTACAATCTTAGTAATACTGCTATCGAATGCTCCGCAGCGAGACGAAACTCTGTACGGGCCCCTGCAAAACACTCCCGACAGCGAGACTCGAACCTACGATCTCTCCCATCATACCTATAATCAACTAACTGAGCCACTAAATACTGAGCCTCAATGTCTTTTTTTTTAATCCATTTCCTTTTGTTTTTGAAATACCCTGGCCAAACAGACCAACTTTTTTTCTGCCCTGCTTTTGTCAGGGAAACAAAAATTTTACCCTACGCATCAGGGTTGACTATACCTAGAACCCTGATTACTAAGGGTGGCTCAAAACGAATATGAAGCCCTGGTCACAGTACAAGCAAGGTCAAGAAGTGAGCAAGTGAGGCCAAGTAGGCACAAGACCTAGCATCGTACAAAAGCGCTGATGATCACAAGGCTGAAGAGCCTTGGTGAAGATATCAGCAGTGTTGGCCCGAAAGGCCACGTAAGCAAGGCGCAGCTGACCACGCTGCTGCAGCTCACGAGCAAGGAAGTAGCGAAGAGCAATGTGCTTCGTTCTGTGCTCCAGTCTGTGCTCCCGACACAAGGCCAGCATGGCCTTGTTGTCTACGTACAGAACTGGAGGAGAACGAGGCGGCTCTCCCAGGTCGGTCAGCAGGTAGGTCAGCCAGCGTAACTCCTGTGCAGCCATGGCCCCTGCGTAGATCTCAGCCTCACAGCTGGAGCTGAGAACAGACGACGAGCGGGTAGACCGCCACGAAACAGAGCCGGAGCCAAGGCTGAAGGTGTAACCCTGTGACGACCGCTGCGTAGCCAGGTCGTCAACCCAAGACGCGTCTGCGTGACCAGTGAGGACCACTGGACTCTGCCCTCCAAGCACGAGCCCCATGCACGATGTACTGCACAAGTAGCGCAACACCCTCTTCGCTGCAGCCATGTGCTCTGGTCGGTGTCTCCCAGGAGCAACATAGCGTGCCAAAATGCTAAGAGGGTACGCAAGGTCAGGACGAGTGCAGGTCATCAGGTACATGAGGCAGCCAACAAGCTCTGGGTACGGGCCACTCGGCTCTACGGGCTCATCCGAAGGCAGAGCTGAGAGCGAGTGGCGAGTAGACAGAGGAGTGGCCTGAGGCAAGGAGTACGTGAAGTCGAAGCGCTGAAGAATCAGCAGCACCATGTATGACTGGGTCAGAGTAATGGTGCGCCGTGCTCTGTCCCGAGTGATCTGCAAGCCAAGATAGCTGCGCAGTTCACCCAGGTCTGTGCACGCGTGTCTCTTCTGCAGCTCGGACTTCACGTGGGCGAGTCCAGCAGTGTCAGCTGTAGCAAAGGCCTAGTCGTCGACGTACACGAGGATGTAGAAAGGCGGCAAAGTGGTGTCGGTGCGTAGAAACAGCGACGGGTCGGCAGTAGAAAGAGCAAACCCAAGAGCCGCAAGTGTGGTCCTCAGTGTGTCGTGCCACTCACGGGGCGCCTGGCGGAGACCGTAGACTGGCCGTCGGAGGCTCCACTGGGTACCAGGAGGAAAAGACCCAGTGAAGCCAGGTGGGCGGCGCAGCCAGATCTCCTCGTGCAGGCTGCCCTGTAGGAAAGCTGTGCTGAAGTCAAGAGAGTGAAGCTCGTAGTGACGGTGGGCGGCAACGTGCAGCAGCACCCGAAGAGTGGTCATCTTTGGGGTGGGAGAAAAGGCACGACAGTAGTCAACTCCCTGCCGCTGACTGAAGTCTTGAGCCACGTAACGCGCCTTGAAGACAGGTGGAGAACCCGGCGGCCGCTTCACCCTGAAAATTCACATGCCACTGACGATGTTCGGCCCAGGTGGGGGAACCTCGTCTACGTAGGTGCCTGTAGACTTCCAGGAAGCCATCTCTGTGTCCATGGCTGCCTGCCACTGAGAGGAGTAGGGACCCTCTATCGCCTCCGCGTAAGAGCGCGGAGTCGGGATGTCTAGTGCATCCGGGTCTCCCTCAGGGGCAAGCAGCATGGCCACGAGATGAGGTAAAGCAACAGCAAGACATTGGAACTCCTCCTGCCTGTCCTCAAGGACGTCCGTGCTAAGAGCACACTCACCCCCGACGGACGGAGGACAGACGGACTCAGACTCAGCAACGAGACTAGCGGCGTAGTCTAGACGACAGGCAGCAGCAAAGTCAACAAGCTCAGCAACCAAGGCAGACGCAGCAGTAGACTCAAACGACGGGTCAGTGACAACAGTGGCTAACAGACGCGTGACAGTAGGGTGCTCAGCACGAAACCGGTCAGACTCAGGGTCCGGAACGGCAGGCAAAGAGGACGCAGGGGGAGACGGCAGAGGAACAGGCTGCGGAGCAGAGGAAGGACGACGGACAACAAGGTGTGCGCTGGGGACAGCCGGCTGACGCGAACGAGGAACACGACTACCGGTACGACCAGAACGAACAGGCGAGACTGGACGCGACGCAGGCTCACGACGCTCAGCAAGACTACCTGTCTGCTCAGTGTAAGGAGAGGGAGCAGGCAGCGGTGAGCCAGGCTATAACGATCGACCAGTAGACGACGGGAGAGTAACAACCTGACGAAGAGCAGAGTCAGGCGGCGGCAGAGACGACGGAGATGGCGGAGCGAAGAACAGTCGTGTCGGCGCAGCTGCACCAGCACCAGCAGCTCCAGCAGCTCCAGCACCTCCAGCAGCTCCAGTGCCTCCAGCCGCTCCAGCACCTCCAGCAGCTCCAGAGGCTCCAGCCTCAAAACCGGTACCTCCAGCACCAGCACCTCCAGGCTCAGCGTCACCAGCAGCAGCACCCCCAGAACCGGCACCTCCAGCCCCAGGGTCTCCAACCGCAGAGTCTCCCGCAGCAGCACCCCCAGAACCAGCACCTCCAGTCCCAGGGTCTCCAGCCTCAGCGTCTCCAGCAGCAGCACCCCCAGACGCAGCACCCCCAGCCCCAGCAGCTCCAGTACCTCTAGTACGAGCACCTCCGGGACCAGCGACTCCAGCACCTCCGGTAGACGAGCCCCGGGCTCCAGCAGCGCGACCCTGACGGCGACCGTACCAGTCGTGCAGCTGCTGCGGGGTGAGAGGCACACGCGGATGAAGACGGCCACTCCAAGTAGGCCGCGCACCAGCAGTCCCAGTACCCTCAAGCGTCTCACCTCCAGACTCAGTACCTCCAGACTCCGCACACACAGGCTCAGCACCCCCAGACACAGCACCCCTAGGCGCAAGACCTCCAGTCTCCTCACGCACAGGCTCAGCACCCCCAGACTCCGCACCCCCAGGAGCACCGTCCCCAACAGCACCAGAGTCAACAGGAACAGGCTGCAGAGGCGGGGAAGACGGTCGTGGAGGGAAACCCGGAGGGGTCTCCAAGCGTGGTGTGTGGCGTTAGGCCGCCGGGGCGTCAGCAGCAACGTCACCCCCCTCAGGTGGGCCAGAGGTGTCGGAAGTGACCTCCAAAGGCTCAGCCAAGGGGGGGGGGTCTACCTGAGACACACCTGAAGGAGCAGGACCTTGAGGGGGGAGGGGGTCTACCGGGGGGTGACCTGGCGCAAGGAAAAGCGGCGGAGGGGGGAGGGGGGCAGCGCGGTAGGGGAAGAGACGGTAGTACGGAACCGACTCGTCAAACGTGACGTCCTGGGAGGACAGAACACGGCGCGAGGTGGGGTGGTAGAACTGCCAACCAGGCGCGTCAGGGGGGAAGCCAAGGAAGACGCAGGGAACAGCACGGGAGGACAGCTTGTCCGCAGACAAGTCTCGGACAAAAGCCCGAGATCCCCAGACACGGAACGCAGACGCATCGCCAACCTTCCCCGTCCACCGCAGAGTGGGGGAGGTCTCCGGCATGGAGACCCGGGGCTGGAGGTTGATCTGACGCGCCGCGTACTGAACCGCAAACGGCCACAAAAAATGGGGAGCAGCCGCATGGATCATGGACGTACGAGCGACATCCATGACCATGCCAATGCGGCGCTCAGCAATCCCATTTTGCTGTGGAGACACTGGAAGCGTGAACGTCTGGCGGATGCCCCTCGCACGACAGAAGGCTCGCAGAGGGCCAGAGGAAAACTCTCCACCTCTGTCGGAGTGCAGACGCAGAACAGGAAAGTCCGAGCCGAAACTCTTCCTGAGCTGGAGACGAGCAGCGCGGATCCAGTCGATCAACACCTCAGTGACCTCATCCTTGCGGCGCAAGGGGAAGACTGTGGTGTAACGCGAGTAGTCGTCAACTACCAGCAGGAAGTAGCGCTCGTGACCCTGTCCACGGACGGGGGCTGGGCCCCACACGTCCATGTGAAGAGTCTGCAGCGGAGCCTCTGTCGGCGGAAACTCGGAGGAGTGAGGAGCGGCGCGCTGCCGCCCCTCGACGCAGGGAACGCAGGTAGGGGCAGGCCCCGGAGGGAGGGGAGGGAGAGACCGGGGGAGACCAGAGGCAAGTGTTGGATGCACGTCATTCTGAGTGCATGTCATCCTAACGTCCTGCTGAGTGCTCGTGCTATTCGTGCGTACATTGTTTGCATGAGCATAAGTCATTATGCATGGCTGTTGGATTTTATCATCTCTGTGTTTTTCTCCAAGTCTACATGCTTTATCATGCAGGAGAAATCCAGAGCTTTCCAACGATACCAAGATTGCCTTATTCCGACCAAGATCGCCCAAGTTACAAGATTTCCAAGATTTGGATTTCTTATTACCTTTTGGGGTTATATCTAATTTGGGCGGTTATTGGGACATGACTATAAAGGGATCTTTGGTTGGGTGGTTAGGAAGGCAACTTTGACTTTTGGATTGGGGTGGCTAGAAGTTTCTAGCATGGGTTGCAAATGTTGCAACACCTAGGCAAAATCCAACTAGATTGGATTTTGCATGTGACACCTCAAGGACCTCATGATGAGGGTTGCATCCTTGCTGCTAGGAAGGTTCCTACCATCCTTCCCTAGCTCTTGGAGAACCCCTTCCCTCTCATGGTTCTCTTGGAGTCCCCAACTCCAACTTTCTATGCTTCATGCTTGTACTTCCTCTATCACTCTAGTCATGCAGCAGCTTGACGTTTTCGTATGGTACTCACTCTCTAGACCATCTTTTTAAGTGATTCAAATTGGACATGGTAGCTAATTCTAACGCGCAACATCCTACCGAGCGGATTTGCGTTTAGTTGAGTAATGAGTTCGTCGTAGCTTCTCGAAGTGACGGATCCTGTACAACAAGTGGTATCAGAGCGGGTAGTCGACTTTGAGACGACGAATCGGCGTGAATTCTCAACCAATTTTGACGAGTGAGGCAAGTTTTTTGTAGCTTAGCTCGTTCGATTGGTGGTCGAACCGCGTTCTAATTCGAAGTACTCAGTCTGCGACGGCGATTTTTGTAAAGTCGAAATTTCTGGCGGAATTTTCTCCAAACGATTTCTCAAGTTTCCACCGTTCATAAGGCCTCAATATGACTGGAACGGACTCCAGAGGTGCTAATGGCGAGATGGCTAGAGGTAGAGAGGCTGGAGAGCAGGGGGGAGTTGCTGGTGGTGGAGTGGGGACTCATCAACCAGCCAACCCTACACTACCTACTTCTACTACACCATCTCCGACAACCGTGGATCCCGTCAAAGCATTCTCGATTGAGAAATTCATGGGGGAGGACTACGAGCACTGGAGCTTCCGCATGAGGCTGATGTACACCCAATACAAGCTATTGGATCTGGTGGAGGGGAAGAAGAAGACGCCGGAGGCCGCGGAGCTGAAAGGAGCGTGGATGAAGCGATCGTTCGACGCGTACATGCTCATGGTGCAAGCGGTTGGAGGACGACAACTTGACCACATCAAGGACCTCTTGGGTGATCCAGAATGTGGACCCAAGGCTTGGAGGAAGCTTCTGGATGTGCATTCATCGACACACGCTACCGGCATCGTGCTACTCGCGCGGCGGCTGCGCGACATCAAGTTCGTTGATGGAGAGCCGATGCAACCGGTGTTGGACGAGATGCGCGACATCTTCACGAAGCTCCAAGGCGACGATGTGGTGTACCCGGAGCTCGTGCAATGCGTGGAGATCGTGATACGGCTGCCGGAGTTGTGGTCAGCCCTTACGATCAACCTCAACTCATAACAGTCCCAGTGGAGCGTGGATCACATCCGGGCACGCATCCTTGAGGAGGACTTGTGGCGTCGGAGTGTGGAGCGCTCGGAGGAGGGGGCTGGCTATGGAGTTGGAGGTGGAAAGAGTGGCTTCAAGAAGAAGTGGAAGGGCAAGAACAAGGACAACCCTAAGGAGGATGGCGGCGGGGGTCAAGGGGAGGTGTGCTTCTACTGCAAGAAGCGCGGACATCGTTGGCGGAAGTGCTACCAACGACCCAAGGATTGGACCCCGCCTTCATCAAGCAACCAGCATGGTGGCAAGAGGAGTGGGGGAGTTATGGGAGCTAGTGGAGAGGAGAAGGATGAGGAGAAAGGCGGCAAATCTGAGGAGCGGAAGGCCGGGTTCTTCTTCTTCGTGAACGAAGGTGCAACCGACCTCGCTATGGCTGCCAAGGTTCTCCTACACCCCCTCACCCATTGGGTGATTGACTCGGGAAGCTCCTGGCACATGACTCCTCGTGCGGACCTACTCGATGAGATTCAGCCCGCACCCATCTCTACAGTCAGATCCGCGACGGGCGCCAAGGCCAAGGTCATGGGCATGGGATGCGCCAAGTTCATGGGAGCGGATGGAGAGCTCGTGGGGCTGAAGAACGTGCTGTGGGTGCCGGACTTGTGCGCGAACCTGATTTCTACCGGCCGGTTGGGAGATGCAGGTGTGAACACCGAGACGATTGGCTCGGTGCGCTATCGTGCCTACAACGATGAGCGGCTGATTTGGGACCTGCGGCAGAAAGGGGATGTCCACAAGGGCATGTGGCAGATCCCGGTCCTCCCTTGGCGGAAATCGGGCAAGGCGGCAGCAGTGGCATCTATGGAGGAGAGCGTCACTGAGGAGGAGCAGCAAGGTGTGCAAGGAGAGGAGCTGATTGGAGGAAGTGCGGCGGTGAAGGCGTCGGCTACCTCGGGCCAAGCGGATTGGGAGACTTGGCATCGGCGGCTCGCACACGTGGCTGTTTCTACATTGGAGGTGATGCACAAGGAGAAGTGCGTGCATGGGCTGCAACTGCAAGGAGATGGCGCTCACTATGGCAGCTGCGAGGCGTGCATGCAAAACAAGTTTGCGCGGTTCCCGTTTCCACGTGCGGAGGGATCAGCCAAGGCACCATTGGAGGTGGTGCACATGGACCTGGTGGGTCCTATGAGGACGGAGGGGACTGGGGGAGTGTTGTACTTCCTCACCATGGAGAACGAATGGAGCCGTTTCACGTGGGCACGTCCCTTGTCCAAGAAGAGCGATGCTGCAGCGGCGATCAAGGAGGATTGGTTGCCGATGGTGGAGCGGCAAGCGATGCGGCTGGTGAAGGTGCTGAGGAGTGACCGTGGTGGAGAGTTCCTTGGAGCGGAATTCACCAAGTTTCTCAAGAGGAACGGCATCCGACACCAGCTGACCTGCCCAGGAACACCGCAGCAGAACGGCATTGCTGAGCGTGCCAACCGGACCATTGGCGAGGCGGCTAAGACTCTGTTGGGGGCTGCAGGGATGCCCTACAAGTTCTGGCCTGAAGCTGTTCGCCATGTCATCACGGCCAAGAACAAGGTCTTGATGCATGTTGGCGACAAACACTGGGTGCCGTACAAGCGTTGGCTTGGAAAGAAGCCATCCATTGACATGCTGCGGGTGTGGGGCTGCATGGGGCTTGTGATGGTGCCTAAGGAGCAGAGGCACAAGCTGGAAGTTGCTGCTGTGTGGGCTGTCCATCTTGGGATGGCTCCTGACTCGAAGGGGTGGCTGATGTGGGACCCCAAGAGCAAGAAGACGCTGGTCAGCCGTGACGTCAAGTTTGTGGAGGACGTCATGTACAAGGACTGGCAGCAGCAGCAGCAGGTGCAGATTGGCTTGCGTCTGCAGGAGATTGAGCGGTCTGCAGTGGAGGAGGTTCAGCTGCACCTTGAGGATCTCCCTGGGTCAGAGCTGACCAGTGACCACAGTGGCGGTGGTGAGCAGCAAGTTTCTGACCCTGCTGCGGAGGAGGGGTTGGAGGATGAGTCGGCACGTGTGGACTCACCATCTCAGCCCGAGCCTGCTGCAACTGCCAAGGTCACCAAGAGGAGTGTGCAGAAAGGAGCTTCACCACATGGGCAGCAGATTATAACCCGCGAGAAGAGAGTGGCAGCAGCACCTTCAAGGCTGAAGTATAGCCGTCTGGGAGGACCCAAGCAAGGTGCCATGGCGGTTCAGGCGGATGAGGGAGAGGATGAGGAGATGGCCTTCTGCTTCTTCACACCTGTGCCTGGAGAACCAGCCACAGTGGAGGAGGCACTGAGTGGACCCCAGAAGGAGGAGTGGAAGGCTGCCATGGATGCGGAGTTCAACAGTCTCATTGAGAATACGACTTGGGAGCTTGTTGAGTTACCCGAGGGGCGACGGCCGATCAGCAGCAAGTGGGTCTTCAAGGTGAAGAGTGGAGCTGATGGTGCGCTGGAGCGGTTCAAGAGCCGCTTGGTCGCCAAGGGGTTTCAGCAGAAAGAGAAGGTTGAATTCAAGGGGATCTTCGCTCCCGTTATTAAGCTAGCGACTTTGAGGACAGTGCTATCTGGCGCAGCTGTGAAGGGATGGCACGTGAAGCAGATGGATATCACCACAGCGTTTCTCAATGGAATACTGCTGGAGGATATCTACATGGCGCAGCCCGACGGCTATGAGGATGGGACCAGCCGGGTGTGCAAGCTCAAGAAGGCCATCTATGGCCTTAAGCAAGCGCCCAGGTGCTGGTACGAGAAGCTGGAGGAGGTGCTGCTGAGTGGAGGCTTCAAGACGTCCCAAGCGGATCACAGCTTGTTTCTGCTTGGAGAGGGGGAGCAGCTGCTCTTGCTGCTGGTGTATGTCGATGACATACTGCTGTTCTCACCTTCCATGGAGCAGATTGAGAGGGCACAGAAGCTGCTAGTGGACAACTTCAAGTGCAAGATGCTGGGGGATGTCCACTACTACTTGGGGCTGCAGATTGAGAGGGATGTTGAGAGGAGGTGGCTGAAGATGCATCAGTCACATTACATCTCTGGTGTCATGGAGCGTTATGGTGTGACTGGGGGTCGCACTGTGATGACACCGTTCCCTGCGGGCTTCAAACTGAAGAAGGCAGCTGAGGAGGATGATGTGCTCGAGGATGAGCAGCAGAATGAGTACCAGTCACTCATTGGGAGTGTGATGTATGCAGCTGTGCATACGCGACCTGATGCTTCATTCGGAGTGGGGCAGCTAGCCAGAGTTGTGCAGCGGCCCACTGAGGAGCAGTTGGAGGTGGCAAAGCGCTTGGTGCGCTACCTCGGATCAACGACATCTGCTGGTGTTCAGTTTTCAGCTGGTGGCCAGCTGAAACAGATTGGAGCAGATGGGATCACGCCTGGAACCTTGAAGCTGTCGTGCTTCACCGATGCCACGTGGGCCTCAGAGGAGGAGGATCAGTCATCAGTTGGCGGCTTTGTGTGCATGGTCGGAGGTGGACCAGTGAGCTGGAGGTCCAAGAAGCAGAGTGAGATTGCTCAGTCTTCCGGAGAGGCAGAGTACATGGCGATGTACCATGCCATCAAGGAGATCGTGCTCCTGAGGAAGCTGCTGGAGGACATGGGAGCTGAACAGGAGGGACCTACACCACTTTTCTCTGACAGCGAGGCTGCTATTGGCATGGCCAATAATCCTATCCTGAATGGGCTGAACAAGCACATGAAGATTAAGTGGCACTGGGTGAGGCAGATGGTGAAGGAGGGGATTGTTGAGCTTCACCATGTGAAGGCTAGCAAGCAGGCGGCAGATTTTCTCACCAAGAGACTTCCCGAGAGCGCACATTGGAAGTGTGCTAAGATGTGTGGCATGGCATTGCACTAGTGTGGGCAGCGGTGTCATGAGTGCATGTGTGTTTGTCTGCATGAGTGTTTGCATGCATGTCGGTTTGTGTGTGTGCATGCAGTCCGTTAGTCTGAGGGGGAGTTTGTTGGATGCACGTCATTCTGAGTGCATGTCATCCTAACGTCCTGCCGAGTGCTCGTGCTATGTGTGCTGGCTTTATTTGCATAAGCATATGCAACTCATTATGCATGGCTGTTGGATTTTACCATCTCTGTGTTTTTCTCCAAGTCTAAATGCTTGATCATGCAGGAGAATTCTAGAGCTTTCCAACGATACCAAGATCACCTTATTCCGACCAAGATCGCCCAAGTTACAAGATTTCCAAGACTTGGATTTCTTATTACCTTTTGGGGTTATATCTAATTTGGGTGATTATTGGGACATGACTATAAAGGGATCTTTGGTTGGGTGGTTAGGAAGGCAACTTTGACTTTTGGATTGGGGTGGCTAGAAGTTTCTAGCATGGGTTGCAAATGTTGCAACACCTAGGCAAAATCCAACTAGATTGGATTTTGCATGTGACACCTCAAGGACCTCATGATGAGGGTTGCATCCTTGCTGCTAGGAAGGTTCCTACCATCCTTCCCTAGCTCTTGGAGAACCCCTTCCCTCTCATGGTTCTCTTGGAGGTTCCCAACTCCAACTTTCTATGCCTTAATGCTTGTACTTCCTCCACCACTCTAGTCATGCAGTAGCTGGACGTTTTCACATGGTTCTCACTCTCTAGACCATCTTTTTAAGTGATTCAAATTGGAGATGGTAGCTAAGCCTAAGACGCAACATCCTACTGAGCGGATTTGCGTTTAGTTGAGTAATGAGTTCGTCGTAAGCTCTCGAAGTGACGGATCCTAAACAACAGAAGAGTCTTGTCGCCGGCGGCACGGGAGAGTGTGGCAGCGAAATGGTCAGAAAAGGAGGTGCAGCAGGCCTTCCGCTCGATGGCAAGGAACAAGGCTCCAGGCACTGGGATGTTCTGGGCAAGCAATTCATGGGGTTGGTGGAGAGCTTCATCGCCTCTTCGTCGATACCTGCAAGCACAAAAGACGCGGTCACTATTTTGTTGCATAAGAAGGGAGGCCATGATCAAATCGAGAACTACAGGCTGATTACTCTCCTGAGCTTCACTTACAAGGTGCTGGCGAGGGTGGTCGTGGACAGGATAAAAAAGGTCCTGCATGAAGTGATCTCACCAGAGCAGTATGGCTTCTGCCAGGGCGGAGGCTATCTGATGCTGTGGGGTTGGTTGCGGATGTGATTGATGCCGCCAAGAATAAGAAGGAGGACTGGTATCTCTTGCTGGTGGACTTCAGGAAGGCGTTTGATTCGGTCTCGAGGAATCACTTGTCCACGGTGTTGGAAAGGATGAGCTTCCCCAGCAGATTTGTTGGCTGGATTAGAGGCCTGCACGAGGGTACGCAAACGAGGCTGTTACCGTAATCCCCCGTATATAAGACCCTAGGGTCTTATGATAATCACCCCTAAAAAGGCTGGGGGGTATAATTAAATGGTGTATTTTTTATAAGACCCGGGTCTTTTCATTTTGAAATTTATAAGAATGTAGATTTGGAGCTCAAAGAAGTGATTTGTAATTGCTCCGTTTTT